TTGTTGATGTTGACTACCTTTATAAGTTCTTTATTTGATGCTGTGGTGGGAAAATGGATTCGATTCTATAAAGCCTGTGCATTATTTCCCCAAGGTGTGCGACAGTCAGTTTATTTAATTTGTAGGAACGTTGCTCTCTAAAATGGGTGGAAAACAAATGAAAACACCCGTGTCAGGACGCCCGGGCCGGAGTTTAACGTGGGTTCAAATAGCCCATACAAACATATATGAAACTTATGGCCAAACCAAAAACCCAGGGGGCAACTTGCCCACCATTTACACAAGTGTTCCCATGCAGGCTGGTAGGAATTCTCTCATGCCGTCCCTCTTTATCACTGCCCCATTGAAAGTGGATGCAGCCCCCCCCCTCACACACACACACACCACCACCACCACCACCACCACCAACAACAACAACAACAACACCACCCTCTCGCTCTCTCATGTCATTATTTTTCTATGGATATATTTAGGATATATTTAGTGACGTGCATCATCTAAGACATCATGCGCCAAACCTTAAAGCCGAAAATGACAAAGGAAGTTTTTCGAGGTTTTTCTGTTTAAAATGATGTTAGTATTTTTTAACATCCAACCAAAACTTTTGAAGCAATATCAAAATGTCTCTTAACACGCACCATGCCATTTCTTCAAGCCGTTTTAATCGGTTCTCTTCGGCAACATGTTACGGACTCGGTAGCAGTGATAAATGACATGCAGATTAACCAGACTGTAGTCAACATATTTGAAGTGGATTTCGACAGCTTGTGCTTCAGGGGCTTTTTCACTTCAGACGGTTGATAATCAAACAAAGACCCAAGATTTATGATTTCCACATTTATAAAACAGAGATTTTACAGATTACTTTGTCTGTTTTGGTGCACTGTTCTTGGTTCTTTTAGAGCATTTTAGTAGCTGCATTCGTAATAACAGCTTAAGCTGAGTGATAATACAAACATGCCAGACCGCATATACAACGGTTATTACTTTTTGTTAATACTTGTAGGAAAAAAGGACCTTTGTTTTTTGCTTTCTTATTGTCTTGACACATTGGACGCCTTGAGCTTAATCACACATCGGTGAGTGTGCTGCATACAAAACAAATAAGATTGTCTAGATGGCTTTATTTAGGACCAAATGTTGGATACTTTAGAACTAATAACAAAGCGTTATTCCGACGCAGTACATATTTCTTGCTTATTTTAATAAGCATAATAAAACATATTAACTAAGCTAACTTTCAACTAAGGGGGAATTATGAAATCTAATACACCTTAAAGGATTCGACAAAAATGGGTTGTTCGGCAAGTTGATTGCATATCTGAAAGAATAAATCTAATGGTTGTATAAGTGAGATAGTAGAGTCAATAGCCTATGGAGCTCTAGTGGCCATACAAAATGCACAATTTCATACATCTTGAAAAGATACAAGTATAAACTTTTGTTAAGAACAGTCTGGGTAAAAGATGCCAAACATTATTTTCATTGTTCAAGTGTCTCAATTTCTTAATACAAACTATCAGTCATTTGATATAGGTAATCATCTTGTTCCTCGCGTGATTCCATCATTATTGCAACCATTCAGTAAAGATGTCGGTTCCATGCTCCTCATGGAACAGGATGTGGCAGTTGTCGATGACGAGTCTTCGCTCTTTATCTTTGTTTCTTAACCTGTTTAAATGCCATGTCTATTTAATCTGACTTTTTACCGAACTGAAAAGGGTTAGATTGACCCTATGAACTGCATATAGTTGCATACCGCAATACTTTGTTCAAGAAACGAAAAAAAGAAAAAACCCAAAAACACGCTCCACTTAAATTTTCTATCACACACACTAGCTCACACTCTTTCACATTTACATTTACATTTATTTATCTAAAAGCTGATATAAGGTCACCAGAGAGTCAATTATGCAAAGTACTTAACAGTACCAACAAAGATAATTTTTTCTGCCTCTTCAATTTTATAACAAAATCATTCAAGAAAAGAAATTAAGTGGTAGCTTGGTAACTCTTAGCATATTCCTTGAATAATGTCAGTGTACCGTCCCAATGTTGTGAGCAGTGACTCGGAAGTGGGACTGAACATGGCACATGGTCAAAAGTCACAATATTTATATCTTTGTATGTAACTGCATTGTTTATCTATCTATTTCTTTATGTAATTGTAGCTCTCCCTCCCTTCCTTGTAAGTTTGAACTGTCCCATATTGTGTACCATATGATATAGCCATATGCTCGATTTGTGTTTATGGTAAATTTATAATCCCACCAAAATGTCAGATCTCACCGCCTAGCTTGAACATTTTATTAGTAACTAAACTAGTACATCTGTTCATTATATACAAAAATAAATTGAGGAGAATTTCATCAGCTGTGTTAAGTTATAAGAATGATGTGATTTTTTTCTTCAGACAACAGCTAATATTGAGATATTTCGATGTCTATCAGGACATCTTCTTCAGGGAATGAGGCTATCCAGGTGAATAGCCTCTACTCAGGAGGTGTAATTGCCCCCCCCCCCCCCCCACATTGTCTTAGGAAAGGGAGGTAGAGGTCAGGGAGGATGGCACCATCATTTCTGTTGAGACTGGCCCCTGTCTTTTTGATGTGGCTTCTAGGACTTTTCTGTAATTTTCCCTTGGTTCACTGTCAATCACCTCGATTTTGTCGATTATAGGACCAGTGGAACGGGATGATCAGTGTCAGAGAGAATAGCCGAACACCAAAAATCGGTCAATAATAGAGACAGCAAGTCAGCATTAAGCCAGCATGAGGAACAATCCGGACATAAAGTAGCATATGGTCCTATAATCAAGGTGATTGGATAAATGACGCACTCTCTCATTTGGGTTGGGAATATGTGTTATATTATATTATATTATATTATATTATATTATATTATATTATATTATATTATATTATATTTATCTCTCGTAAGGAAGACTGCATCTCTTCCGGTAACATATAGATAGAGAATTTGGATATGTTTCTGTAATGTCGGGTGTATTGTTTTAGGCCGACCCAAGTAGGAATTCGGACCTAAATCAACGTCGTATGTGATATTGTTTAAATAAAAACCAAACATAAGATTCCTTTCAGTATTGACATTCATATTTTCTCTCACATTTCTCTCTCATTCCTAAAGCATATACGTCCACATGTTTTGTACATGTGGGAATTCCCAAAATACAAGAACTATTGCCTCCTTGACAATGTTATGTAGCTAGCATTAAAGGGATTTATCTTTATTTATTTTCATTAAATATGAGTTTTTGCAAAAGATTATGCAGTTTATCCTGAACTACAGTATCTTATATTTGGTATCATCTGTCTCGTTGAAAACATTATATATTTTAATATATCTTAAAATGTCATCTCTTTTATATTATTTCTTCTTAGTCTTTGTGCCATTTGTCTGTTGCTTTTTTTCGAGTTTTTAGAGGTAATTATGATAGAAATATCTTGCCGGTTGCGAAATGCTGTTTATTGTATTGACGTTTTCCTTGCATAGTTTGTATAGATATTTACCGTTAGTCAAAACAGAATTTCACCATTGAGCTTGGATACTATTTGGATACACATGTAGTCTAAAAAATTGACATTTACCTGCTTGTACACTTATTTGCTGGTAAACGTTTCGTTTATGTGATCATATGTGGTAATTTATATTCTTATGGAGAATTCACATTTAGTTTCTTTTCCACCATTCAAAAGCCTGTGTTGCGACGACTGCTCCGTCAGCACTATCGTACGGGTTGATAGCTTGGTTCACGCGAAAGTTCGTAGTTTTCCCGAGAATCTCGACTGTGACGTCAACGTTGGACCACTTTCCGGAAGTTGGAACGAAGTTGGCTTGGTCGTAGGAGGCCTGAAATGTGTTTTTAAAGATTCGATGAAAGATTTTATCTGGTATATAGTTGTAAACATATCTTACATGATAAAGTAAAAGATAATGCCTGATTGAGAGTCGATACTCTAGACTTTACAAAAGTAACCCTAGGGTCCTCTTTGCAACCTGACTGATCACATCATATTAGTCCTATGGATAATTAGTCCTACTGAATATTTTATATATGTTTTTATTACTTTGATCATCATATTAGTACAGGCAATGCTTGTTACCTTTGTTTCAAGACAGTTTATTTGTGGGGCTACATATATATATATATAATAAAAGCGGTCTTAAATTAGCTAAAATTAGCCTTAAATTAGCCCATTCCCTGTGCTGTTTGTTTACTTTGTACAGATAATGGCGTGATTTTTTGTGGTAATTTGAGATGGGACAAACAAACTAATCCTTAAACAAAACGATACCAGAAACAACTTGGAAAGCAAGTGCATCTAAGATTTTTAGTGTAGATCACAGTTGAACGCTTGTATAAAAAGGTTTAGAATAACCCTTACCCTAATGCATTAAATTCGACGAAAGCGCCCCATTCACTCGTATCAGGCGCTGACATAAACGGTGTGGCAGAGAAGCCTTACAATAACCAATAGAAAAGTACATAGATACCGTTCTCCTTTGTGGGACATTTTGTAATGTAATTTACCTTCATCAGAGCAATGAGGTGAGAACGCTAAGTTTAGATTGACGTCATTGTCACGTGGTGTTGCACGCAAAAAGGGTACCTTGGCATTAGAGTATCGTACTAGGTCTACAAATACTTACTGCCTTGACTCTGTAGTTGGCGTTTTGTGTAGGCACCTTAGCCAACCAGCTGTAGGTGTTTCTGGCACTTTCATAGGCAACGCGAGCCGATGAGTACCCTGGGCAAGCTAGATAGAGAATAATTTAATGAGGATTATTACACAATTTTTGACTACATTTGGACTTACATGTACCTTACAATGCCCATTAATGTTTAGAAGGCATTGTAATTTCAAACATTGTTTAAAACGTTGTGTGTGTGACCAGAAAATGTCACGAAATTTAGGTACATGTAAATACACAAGTCAGATAAAGAGAGAGAGAGAGAGAGAGAGAGTAGATTTCAAACAAATGCCACCTATCTTAACTATTTTACCCATGTACGCATTCTGTGGTCAATTCAGAAGACAATTGTTCATTTTGCACATCTTGATTAGCATCACGGGCACTGACTGATAATCATAAATATTTAAGTTTTGATTAACCAACGGTCAATGACCGCTTTATTACGATGCAGATGTCGTTTAAAATGCAGTACTGGATTAATAAAACAGGGGCCAAAAAGAGTGCCTTCCATTGAAGAATGCGATTGCTGTGTCAACACTCAATTTAAATGTGTTAGTTGAGAACCTTACCGTTATTTGCATTCACGTTACACCAGGAGCATTGATCCTGATACTTCTTGCAGGCTTCCCCAGCATTTCTCTCGATTTCACCACAAGAGGGCTCTGCGCGCTTGGCAAGGGATCTGCGTTTCCCCCATCCTATTGACAAATAAAAGACTTATCTTTATGAATGGTGATCGCTCGTGGGTTATTTCAATAATATTGATATTAAAATATATTTATATGAATATCTACATGTATATACTCTCTCTCTCTTTCGGTTACTTAAAACAACTTGATTATGAAAATATTATCTTATCTACCCACGAAAAAGATATGTATAAAGCAAAATATAGAAAAAACTAATTAAACAAACATGCATGGATCTTAAATCAAACTTCAACGTCAATACTTATTCAAACTGAAGTTATTCCTGAAAATACTTCTCAGTAAGTCACCTGAAAATACGTCTTTAATGCCTCCAATGACTTTGTCAACGACCTGAAAGTCACAGGTTGGCGTTGGGGTTATTAAGAAAGTAATATTTATTCCCTATACATACACTTATAATGGAAATAAACACTATATAAACGTAAATGAGTACGCTAATAAGAATAACTTTATAATAAACTTGTATTAAGAAAGAGCAAAGTATACAAATACATCACCTCAAACTGAAAAAAAGGAGAATGCACGCCCTTCATATAACATGCGAGCGCGGACAATTTTTTCAAGGCGCAAAGTCAGTCGTCAAAAAGATGCTATAAAGCCGATTTAAAACCGATGATTCCACAGAAAATTACTTACGTCTTTAGCTTTACTGGCCACAGATCCTCCAAGGTCTCCAATTGTTTTGATGGCACCACTAAAGGTCAGCTCTCTGTGTAGGTAAAATTACATAATGTTGAGCACATTCCTATGGGAGACCTTTCACATGGTCTCCCATAGAGGAAAACATCCACATGTTATGGTTCACACGCCTTAGTTAAGCTGTCCCATTATAAAGCTGATAACTGAAGCAGATGATAGCTTTGAGTCCGTTCCTTTAGTTGAAATCTTAGATAAACTTTAGTTGAAATCTTGCCTTAACTTTAAGATGTAATCTTCAGGGTTCTAATTAAAATGTATGTGATTGTACTCCACAAAAAGGATTTATAGCCTAAATGTATTTAACAAAGAGTGCATAATGCTATATAGACCGAAACATGCTAAAGTCTAGTGGGATACGTCAGATTATTACTTTGTCTTAGTAGACTTAATATTTTGGTCTTGGATGTCTACTTAGAAGCCGTCATGGCATGGGTTCTGGTAATGCAGGCAGTTGCAGACTGGATTATAATTGACATGCGCGACATACCGTGCGTTGATAGCAGTCGGCATGCACTGGATTTGCCAGAATTTAGATATGGTTTTGACATAATGAACACTATTTGAATACCTCCTCCATTTTTGCTGCACTCTTTTAAAATATCTTTAACTTGGCCTTAAATCTAAAACTGGAAAGCTGAAAACTGAATATGTCATTTTTTTGCCTGAGATGAGGAGACATCCATCGTACTGAGTAACGTTGCTAGGGAGCACTTGCACAGAGGAGCTGAAAAGTTTTTACTTTTTTTTAATTTAAGACTTTTTCAGTTCAAGATATATCAAAATAGGTCCTCTAAAAGTACATGCTGGGATGAAACAAGAGCCATGTCTGTCTTGCAATAAAAATTAAAACTGGTAAACTCATCAATTTAATTGGAATAGAACTATTTAATCTTGGCTCAAATCGGACGAAACTTTTTGGTTTAAAGGATAATTCCACTTTAAAGTTAAAGTTTTTTAAACCTCAGCCTCTCTCTCTAAATAACCAATTAACCAACCGGATTCTTGGTCGAAATCATTAATGGTAGATACTACACTATGAAAAAGGGTATCAGTTTCTCCTGGCTTAATGGCTGCAGGCATTTAGCAAACAAGTAGCAAGTTTCCACATTTACCTGTTACAAGACTTGGCTTTGGCTTTGCATTTGTCAACGATGCATGGAACGCAGATTTTCTCCTGGTTAGTTTTAATTAGGTTTTGGCAGGTTGTCGTAGCGGACTGGAAGCTACTCTCCTTGGCCTTGTAGTCGTTGTTGGCTGCTTGGATTTGAGTCACAATGTACTGGCCCCCAGAAGACGTCAGAGCTGGAGAAATCAGTAGTAATTGTTAATCAAACGTACAACAAACATATTTCTGTTTTGCTATTTATCTATTCAGTGTAAGTAAGAATCTGCGGTAAGCTTTATTTCAAATGCATGAATATAAATACAAATACATGAAAAATCATGCTGTCCGCTTGATATCAAATAAAATAAGTACGAAATAATACATTTATCAAATATATATATAAAATGCAAGGTCATTAAAATCAGGTTGTCCGATCTTATGGGAAGCAGCCATATGGCACTTAAATCATAAGCCAGTCTGTGTAGAACGTAATACAAGCAAGTTATTTACGACCGCAACATTAACTTTTTTGAATCAGTACTGCTAAGTATTGATATTCTGTAAGTTTTTTTGTCTCATTGAAGAGACGAATCTATTACGACACTCACGCCCTAGAAAGTTACTGCTCAGCTGCGTCACTTGCCCTAGGACACATGGCAGCAAAAGACAGGCGGCAAACACGACCTTCATCTCGAGTTTCTGAAACTGCAATGAAATAAGGTTTGTTATATATGTGATGTGCAAATCTATGACTAGCCTACCCCCCCCCCCCCCAACAAAACACCTAGTTAAATGACAGAAAATATAATTACTTAAGTTCCATACAGTTTAAGTAAAAACCCGAGTAGAAATGCTGTGTACGTAACCGTATCTATAGTTCAAACTATAATCCTGTGTACACGCAGTGTGGTCGGCATATGTGTGGAGGACAATCCAAATCCTAATATTAACAGGGTCGTGCCTTTGGGGTTGGGTTTAAGTTAGAGGTGTGCCGAGATAATACACGAATTAAAATTATTCAATATAAAATTGAGGTCCTCTACAATATGACAAGGGGTTCACAGGAAACGAAAAGGATGCAGAAGAGAGGCAGCAGCATTACCATGGTGGTTCAAAGTTTGCCATAGAGGGACATGGAAGATAAAATGGAAGAAGTCAGAAACAGCATCTAAGTTTACGATTAACCACCGCATCTAGTACTTGAGAACCACTTACTGGCCAGTCTGCCTCCATTCTGGTACCACGGCGATGTGTCTGCCTCCTTTCTGCCTCTTTAACCCACTCTTGAACTACTTTCTGCGATTGTTTTGAACACTTTACAAAAATGTACATCGACCATGGCGTTCACTGCGGCGTCTGAAAATCTCGTGCACAACACATACACCACATGACCAACCAATGTACCTCTTCTAAGTCTTCAACAGCGATGTTTGAAATATTTAAACTTATATTTTAATATTTTAACAACTGATTATAACTCGAACAAGAAAAGCACTCCGAGAGCGCAGACATCCGCCAAGGCAGCAATTTTTGATTATTATTGATTATTGATTGATTATTGGACCGGATCACCACCAAAAACTAATCATGTCTTCCTTGGCCCACTTCTGACAGTTCCTAAAAAAATTTCATCAAATTCGGTCCATAACTTTTTGAGTTATGTTGATGACAGACGGACAAACGGACAAACAGGGGTGAAAACATAACTTCCTCGGCGGAGGTAAATATGACTACACGCACACACACACATACACTCTTCTGACATCAAAAGTTGGTGTAAATATGGCAGTTGATTAATCCAAAGAATGGTTGTGTGATCCCTTTTCTTTCATTCTTTCTTTCTAACTATTTTTCTTCTTTATTGCTTTGATTGTGTAAATGCGATACTGAATCTTGGTTACACAAGATCAAAAAGTGTGTATTAATAACCAGCATAAGTATTTCAACAACTTTCCGATACAAAATGTCAAATGCAATGATAGTAGATATCCGTTCGTGCATGAATGAATGTTAATCAAAATACGAAGCATTTTAATTCTTATGTTTATTATAAAGCTTCTGAGATGCAAAACACTTAAGTTACCAATTATAAATTTGCAATGAAAAACATTTCGCATGTTTTTTTACAAGAAAATTACGATTGAAATGCAGTGACATTAAAAAAAATCCTCTAACCATCCTATAACCTCTAATAAAATTGTTATCCTACTCTTAAAACATCACTAGTGTTTGAAACCTGATTCACATCATTTTTCTTCTGCTTTCGAAAAGGGGAAATACATGGCTAGATCTATGTATAAAAAGACGTACCACGTGCTTAGGACACCACGACTAAAACAGAATAAAAAAATATACAAACGTGTATGTAGAAAAGGGAAACAAGGTTTGAGAAAAACACTTTTAGGTCACAGAGAGAAGAAAAAAATGGAAAAAGTATAAAAAATAAATTATATGAGAAGTATATAGTTATGCATTTTAATATGCAAATCGTGCTTGCCACAAGTAACTAATGTTGATATTAAGGGGAGTGGGAGAGAGAACGATGGTGTTGGAAGTGCTAAGGACACCCATAGACCTCAATCCTAGCGTATGGATCTAGAACACAAGCACTCTACATAGAATTAATCAAAAGAAAGCAATCAGTCACTAATTCTCGTTGTCACTCACGTTTCAAAGGAGTGTGCGGTTAGTCACTGATCTCAAGCGTCCCATATGTTGACACAAACCCCCCTCCACGCCAACTCCCCAGTCCTATATAAAGGGACAAGGACATGATATATGCACATTTATCAGGAAGAGAAAACAAACAGACACGATGAAACTTCTCATACTGGCAGCTCTGGTGGCTGCAGCCTATGGCGCCTCCGTTCCAGTACCTGCTTCTATGTTTCCAGGTGAGTTTAGTCTTATCTCTTAGAGATATTTTCATTTTTGTCTTTTTTGTATATATCTGCGATTCAATCTTATGCAATTAATTGTTAAGCAGCCTGTAATTCCACTGTGAACGGCATTTAGAGTCTAAAATTCTTCGCTCATATAAATTGTTGTGAAATTGCTCATCTTCCATAGGAAGCTATTGTTTCATTGATGTAAGGTTTTTGTAAAATAAGTTCAATAAAAAATAAAAAATGAGAATAAACTATTATGACCTTTTGGATGCAATACTTCAAACGTAATATATGAAGAGAGAGAGAGAGAGAGAGAGAGAGAGAGAGAGAGAGAGAGAGAGAATGTAACGTAATTTGAACGTCAAGAATCGTTATGCAACACCAGGTTCTCGTCATGTTCTCCAACTGCTAATTTCACATGGATTATCCGATCAAACCTCACCTTAGTTTCGTATGAGATGTTAAGAGGTTTAAAACTCAAGGGATGTTGTGGGCAAAACACTTCATTTCAATTTTTGGGTGCTTTGAAATGATGAAATTGAAAGACTAGCTTTTTATAAAAAATCACGCAAATGTCGTCCTTACTCCAGTGTTTTCCCCCTTCATTCTTATGAGTTAACAGGACCTTTTCGCACCGAATGCCGTGATATTCGCCTTAAAGGACAGAGCTAATAGGAACAAATCAATGGGAACCAAACCCTGCGTGTCGCAGCTGACTCTCTTGTGCATGACCTTGAGTGTTCTATCTGTCCCTTTCAGATAGAGTCTCAAATCTAACGAAAGCACAAGAAAAAGAGATAAGAGTTTATTTAGCCAATTATAAAAATCGGAAATCATTTTGCTTTTGAAGCAAGTTTGATAATATACAGAGTAAAAGTAATACAATAGATAAATTAAGAATTTGGTTTTGAGATCAAATTAAAATGTGAAACTGCACTTGGATAAAAGCTGTTTAAAAAGCGTTTACTGCCTTTAAAAGTTAAAAGTCAACTATTGCTTGGTAAAAACGAAAAAAGTGATGATGCAGGATGAGAATAGTCTTCCATGGCGTTAACAGTTCTTTTCTCCATTCTGTCTTTAAGAATATAATTCAACTTGGGGAGATTCTGCCCGATAATCTTTATTGCAGTTTCTTTCTATCCTCCTCAGTTGCTCTGCTATACAATATTATAATTCAGTACGCCAGGATGCTTTCAATTACACACCTGTAAAAATTTACTAAAATAGGCACGCTATCAGTAAAAGTTTTCCATAACCTTAAAAATACTGTCTTTGCCGTGCCTTCTTTACACCCTTCGCAGTGTTATCTCTCCAATTCAATTTACTATTCAGGTGTTCAACCTATCAATCATATAATCAATTTTTTAAAACCTTGTTTCTCATTTACGGTGTCTGTCGTTGAGTGATCAATCGATGAATTGATTATTTGATTATTCACTAGTTAATTGATTGTTTGATTGATTACATGTATATAGCTGATTGATTGCTTCAGTTCCTTTATTCTAACGCCACTGTCACTCAGTTATACGTTTTTAAAAACATTTTTATTCCATAATCCAGCCATCCAAGCAGGAGGTGTGAAGGTACTGCAAGCAGCCATCGTTGGCGTCCAGAGAAACTTCAACGCTTCCATCGAAGCTTTCAAGTCCGTCAACGTCACCTGTAACACTATCGTGAATAGGAAGATAGAAGAGTGCAAATCTTGCGTTACCACGTCCTGTGAAAACCGGTAACGCGAGTTCCATTTAATATTACTGGGCCCATTCGACATTAACGATAGCATTAGTCTTTTCCAAAAAAATTAAATCACGCGTGTTTGTGAAATTTGAAAGGCAATGCATTTTAACTATGCTTTATTTAAAATAAATCCAGATAAGAAAACTACTGAGCCTCTCAAGTGGTATTTTGCAATGTTGATCAATCGGAATTGCTAATCATATCGACTCCATTTTCCGGAAAAAACTCTCTAGCCATCTCTAATTGTTTCATATGTTGCTACAAAGAAACAAAAACTGTCTATTACAGCGCCAAGCAGGCCTGCAAGCCTTCCGATTTCCAGCTAGTATTGGCCAAGGGTATCGGTTTCTTTGCCTCCGACATTCCCAATTTCTTCTCCAATAGTCTGCCAAACTTCTTCGTTGACGACATTGGCGGCGGAGTAATAAAGCTTGGAAATGAAGTAGGAGATTTCTTTACTAACACGGTAACTTTTTCTGTATTTTATTTTCTTTTATTCAATATATTTTTTCTTTTTGGATATTTTAGCCTTTTCTTTATTCAAGAAACCTATAGTATGTAGAATTGTCAAAGGAGCAGAAACGTGGTGTTTTTCTTGCAATTCATCCATAGTCCGTATGGAAATAGACACTTTTTTTAACCAAAAGGCATCTCATTTTCTTACCTAAAACCACTATGCTATTAGTTAAGACCTGATGAATGAGTAACGGTGAATTGATATGTTTATAACATACGTGAAACTAATTTGTTTAATACATATTCCCAATATTAATTCCATGTCTGCTACTTCGGTGCTTTTCTGTCGCATGTCCAAAACATCTTCGATTGATTAATTGATTGATTAATCGAACTTTTTTCTCATATCTTAGATCGGAGGCGGTATTACAGACCTCGGCAATAATATCGCCGGCGGTTTTATTGACGTTGGAAATGGTATTGCAGACATAGGAAAAAACATTGGAAATGGCATTGTTGATTTTGGCAAAGGCATCGCAAACGGTTTCGTCGATTTCGGTAATAAAATCGGTGATCTAGGAAATACCGTTATTGATGGCATTGGCGGTGGTATTGGCAAAATTGGAGATTTCTTCAGCGGCTTTGGAGACCTCTTCGGAAGTAAGTCTAAATGATACAACTGAGCCGAAAGTTTAAAACGTTTTTACGTTTTTTTCATTGAAATATGTAGATCTGTAATTGCCCATTTTGTTTTCAATTAAGCAAAACAAATATAATATAGCAAAAAGGAGGGGCTTCGAACATATTTTATTGTTACGAATGGCTTTAATCACCAATACTTGCGATATCTGAAACAGTATGCTTTCTTATTTAACAACCCATATTCCATATGGAGTTACTATAAGTATTTGTGATCTGTATAATAACATGTATACCCAGAACAGACACAAGAATAGAGTGTGAAAAACTGCTCTAACAATAAAATGACAAATATTAACACTTTAATATCCTTATTCAAGGGCGCCGTAGAGATGTTCACCACGAGATGGCCATGCACAAGCTGAACCGCATCATGCGCGCAGGAGAGCCCGGATGTGACGCCATCAAGAACGACGCCTCTAACGCGTGCAAATACTACATCAAAACCTGCACCCAGTGCGACATTGAAAAATCTCGAGGTAAATTATTGGAATACTACGCCAACGATCAACATTTTTTGAAGGTTTATTTTTCTTTAATTAACATTTTCATAAAATGACAGCCCGCAATTCTTTTTTTGTTTCAAAATGGAGAGGGACAAGAAATAAAAATTCGTAAATCATAAGATTTTTTTCTTTTTTTTTTATTTTGAATTTTAGTTTTTGGAAATATTTTGCATCAATATTATATAAATATGAGGCAAGTAGTTTTTTTTTTAGTAAGCTTTTGTTTCTTGCAGTCCTTTACATTAGATACGCTGCATCGTAAAATTAAAATTAAAATTATTTCCTACAGATTGCCCTGGATACAAGACTGCCATGGAAAATCTGATCAAGGCCAACAATGACCGCCAGTGGCTCTCCAAGGTTAAAAAGAACAACTATGACATCCTCTCCGTAAGTAAAATTTCAGTTTCTATCTACATACTAGTCTTTTAATAGGCAAATATGCCGTCTGATCTTTGTTGATCTTATTATAATCCTTTGGTAGAATGTTTGATTAATCTAGGACTGCCCTGAACAGCAAGGAGTTTAGTTTTTGGAAAAAGTCCTGTTTCACAATTCACAATTCATCCACTCTCACATATATAGATATGGGCGTGTATAAGAGCCCAATGAAAACATGAAAGCAACAAATTCGAAATCTATGAATACCTTCTTGATTACGAAATTTACTGAGAAAATCGTTTTCCGCAGGTTACTTACGACCCAACCGCTTTCGACCCCGCTACCGGAGGCTTCAAGGGAGTCCAAGCCAGCGTGAACCTGTTCGGCAACGCTCTCTCCTTCACACTGGATACCAACCCCTTTGACCCCACCAAGGCCGGTCCCGCCATTGCCGCCAAGGCTGTTCTGAAACTCAGTGGAAGAGAATAGAGAACGGATCCCGTGCGTGTGCTGTAAGGATGAAATTACGATAATAATTGCACAATTGTTTGCACTTACACAAAACCCCCAAATCAAATGACCCGTTTAGCAGTTGAGTCCACTTGGATTATGAACTAAGAGTGCGCATGGTTTTTTCTGTTAACAGAACCGCTAGTATGCTGCTGTTCCGAGGAGTTGGGGAGGTCCGAGACTGGAAGGGTTGCTGTCTGTGCTTCCCACGACACCCTGGTGCTGAGGAATTATTACAGTCAACGTTCAATTAACAGCAAACACCCACACGCTTAAAATATAACTCACATTCATGATGCTCATTTCTAGCCACTTTGATAGTCATTATCTAAAACTGAAAAAAGAAAACAACAATAAAATATTTTATTTGGATTGTCCGCTTGTGAAATTTCAAATTGACTAATGTGCCCATTTGGACATCGTGTGGAATGATTTCTAACAAAACGAACCAGACATCTGATGTTATAAATCCATTCTAGTGAAAATGTTCATTGGAATTATTATATGTTGATGGTGTTCTGTAAAATATACTGCATAAATATTCCTCTTTCTTTTTGATGATACAGAATCTTTTGATTGGTTTAAGATATTTTCCAACGCCTTTCATTGTAATATTTAGAATTTTGGTTGTTTATGCGTATCTGGGACCTGTTTTTACAAAAGAACCATAGCACGAAAACCGGGTAGATTAAAAAATTAATTTAAAATTTGATTGATTTGATCTTTTAAACAAACTTCACCAGATTTGTTCAACATATATCTTTATTTTCTTTCAGGTAGAGCTACGAACCATGCCACACAGTCGAGCATATTAAGAAGCATTACTCCATTTTTCCATTTAATAAACGTGTGCTGGACAATAAAATTATGATTTAAGTATACGTTTATGTCTGTTGCTTGGATTTCATGTCAAAAATTTTATTGATTAAAATATCGGTCTTTAACCCATTCATCTGAGTAGTTATTCAATTTCTATTGTTCGTCACTAATATCATCAAGTCACAGTAATACAGAGGCAGTCTCCACCAGGTTTGAAAACTATCCAATATTGTCTCCTTCTTACTGCCAACTATGGACTATATAACGCAATAACATTTTAACAGTTGATATACATTTATCTATTCTTGCCTTGTATATAACAGAGCATCACAGATAATTTCACTCCTTCTAGGTGAGATTCCCAGTGTTTCCGAAAATCTCTGTATTTTTACTTTGTTTAAGAGGGTGGTGTCATGTTTGCTGATTTTTATTATGAAAATGCATCATAATCTACACATTGCTGATATTTTTAACCCCTTCCCCCAAAATAGATAAAATAAAGTAAGTAAAATACGTACAAAGTCATTCTTCACATTTCCTTCTTTCTTCAAACTTTGTTCTTGTTCTCGAATTAGGGCTATTTAGTAAGTTAAAATTGGTGGGTTTGAGCACCTGCGCTGTTCTAACATAACAAAAGTTATCTGCTTGTGAATTATGAACTCTTAGAATAATAAAGACTAGAATGGTCATCATGAAAAAATTGCGATACTGTTTATGTGATCAATTGTGTTTAATAAGATTAATACAGGGGCGGATCCAGGATTAATTGAAGAGGGGTCCGCGGATGCGAAGCTGACTTTACCCCCCCTCCCCCCCTTGGCGTGGGGTTTGGGGCCTGCTCAAGGGCCCCGAAAGTTTTTTAATGGGGTTATCAGACCATCAACAAATGTTAAGGGAGATATTCTAACGTTCTACACTGCCACTGTCATCATCATTGATCCGAGAAACGTTGCCAGCAAGTTCTATTAACGTATATAAATTTTGATGAAATTTACAAATTATACATTTTTTATTAATTTTGGCAAAAACACATGAACAAAGGATTTCACATTTTATATCACTAGAATTTGCACAACTTTAATCATCCCCTCTAGTATTTAAACGTTCTAACAATGTTATAAAAATAAAAAAATATGTGTCGGTTATATTTACCAATAGTCTCGCCATACGCTGTCGGTATTTAACGTTGGGCATCAAGCCTGTGTCACACGCTGTCTTAACTACACCTAGTGGCTGATTACAAATTGGGGTGGGGGTTAGTCGGCGACTAGATCGATGAGGATTTTACCCGAATTTGAAATTACCCGAAATTACCGACATGATGAAAAGCTTTAACAATTATTTTAAAGTAGACTTCAATTTTGTAATAAGGTTTATCAAAATTATTAAAAAGGTGTTTTCAATAAATCGTGATAGTTAATTGGCGTTTGTAATGAATTAATTGTTTTAACTTCATTTTAGAAAATCCATTCCAATAAGTCGCTTACAAAGTCAGCTTACACAGGAGTAGTGAAAAGGGAGGGATTTCAGTCTAAGGGATCTCAGGTGGGGCGTCTCCATTTCATTAGAGGGGTGACAGGTGGGGCGAGTCCATTGCATTAGAAGGGGTGACAGGTGGGGCCAGTCCATTGCATAAAAGGGGTGACAGGTGGGGCGAGTCCATTGCATAAAAGGGGTTACAGGTGGGGCGAGTCCAT